AGTATATATATATATATATATATATATATATATATATATATATATATATATATATATATATATATATATATATATATATATATATATATATATATATTTATATATATATATATATATATATACATTACGTTGGTTGTTCTAGTAACTTCCCCTATACATTCCTTGAAATTATTGTCTGTTTGATCTCATTAATATTGTGTGAAAAACACGGAAAAACGAGCCCTTAGGTATACACTTCTTTCCCTCATATATATATATATATATATCACAATAAATCTTGCTAAACTTAGGGTAAACACAAGTGTTCGACTCACCAGGCACAAAGAAATTTGAACTGTACCCACCCCAAGAACTTTTTATGACAAACAATCATTGTCCTACACACAGACTACCTTCTTTGTTAAACTTTTTAAACCGCGAAGATCGTTCCTTTAAACAAAACTGTCAGATTAAACACTTCGCCCGACTGATACATTTTACTAAATGATACATCTCTCAGAATTTATGCCCATTCTTTCTTTTTTATTATTTGCTTTTCATGTTCATGCCACTTCATGCCCATGCATTTGAACTATTCTCTTTTTATCTTAGTACTGTTTTCATAAACTTTTTGTATTACTTTTTTGTGATGTTATACCAATAAGTTTATTTCATATTTGTTGTGCATGATTGTCTGCCATTCCTGCTGCTTTGTGTCACCTTGTGAACGGGGTCAGGACCTCGTCAAGCTCTTGAGCTTTTAGTCCTGTACTTCACCTTATCAAAAGAAAATAAAATATGATATATATATATATATATATATATATATATATATAATATATATATATATATATATATATATATATATATATATAGATATATATATATATATATATATATATATATATATATATATATATATATATATATATATATACACATCTATATATATATATTTAATACATGAGGAAACATTGCAAAAATATGGTGCGTAAAGTAGCGTAACAAAAAGTTGTGTGCATTAACAAACATGGCTTCTGAGTACTAAACTAACATAGCAATAAAAACTAGGAAAGGAGACCATATTGTATTACAAGAAAAATAAGCTTGTGAGGAATAGGTGGTGTTGTGTTTGTCGCTTCTTTCTTTAGCGGTTATCAAGTGCAAATGTGCTTCGCTTGTTTCTTTTTTTACTCTTGAAGGTTTCCGCACCATTCGGTTCGCTTGCGAGCAAAATTGCCGCATTCTCATGTCAACGTAGTACTGCAGAATTCCTGCTAGTACTTCTTCCTTGTGGGCTTCACAAGGGAAGCTGAGACTGTGTGTCCGCAGTACATGTTCAATTGTTTCCTCATAAACAGTAGTTAACTTGGCATTACGAGAAAAGTAGTCCTCGGCCGCGTGCAATAGTCTGTACAGGTGCTCGTTTGGCATCATCATTCGGCCACGTGTTCTGGTAACAGTTAGACTGGAATTTTCTTCTTTAACGGGCTGCAACGTCGGACCAAGTGCGTCCCTGCACATCTCACAGTCAGTTTTTTTTTTTTTTGGCGAAATTTTCGCGCCACATATCCAGTGACGAAGTATATTACGCAGTATATAATTGCGGGATCACCCTCTGTCTGCGAAAAAATACCCTCACATTCCCAAAGGTCTGTTCTGATTAGTCCCTCTAGTTTTGCTCTCAGGTTGCCGATCTTGGTCTCTGGTGTTTCACTGGGGGCGAAAATTGTCTTGATGTGTTCGGAAGTTAAACAAGGCATCTCCACGCCATTGGTGATTTCACAGTTGCCGTATTTGTGGGGTTTCAATAACTTTTGCACAGACAGGAGGCGGTATAACTGAAGGAATGTTGGCATCGTGGGATGATATTTTTCCTCTCCAGCTTGGCGAATGGTTCCAAAAAACCGATCTAACGGGTCCTGATTAAATTAGTTTGTCAAAACAAGGCAAAATTTGCATTCATATTAGTATATACCTACACAGGCCAATTGTTGAGTGCAAGGTTACTCTGAGACCTGTGTAGGTATTTAGTATGTGAATGCAGATTTTGCCAAGTTTTGACAAACAAATTTGCCAATTGTTCAGTGCAAGGTTACTCTGAGTCGATGCTCGCTGGATTCCGTGCCGACCGGTTGTGCCCTCGCGATCTCCGACGTCAGCGTAGCTCTGGCCGACTGGGCTTGCCCTACGCCATCTCCTGACGCCGACAAGAGCTCTCGCAAGTGGTGCCCCGTCCTCGGACTCCTGTGACCGGGTTTCCATCTTTTCTATCTCTCTTATGTCGTCGCTCGCTGTCCTAGCGCATCTCTCTCTCCCTCTCTCTCTCTCCACCTTTAATCCTATCCTTTTAATCCCTCCTCACCCCCATCTCTTGTGAGCTACTGTTGAGGTGTCGCACCCTGATGCAGACAGTTACGGGGCTCACTTTTCTCTTCTTTTTCCTCTTATAAACATAAACACTTCCCCCTACTCTGAGACCCTCACTCGTGCTCTTTGTGAGAAACATATCTTTGGACATTTTTACATCGCCAACCTCCTTTTCCCACGAATCCGAAAAATACAAAGCTCTCTCCAATACAGCAAAACCTGTACCACCCATACAAACACCCTGGTTAGGAAGCTTTCTGTTTAAGGCATCAAACATGTCATTTGCCAGTTTTGCAAAGCGAATGGTGCCATCACACTCTTGAAATTCTTGCCCTTGTTTTCTTGCCAGTATTTGAAGCCATCCACAACTGAGTTGCACAAAACTTGTGCAGCATATTTGACCCTCATTTTTTTCTGTCTGGCTTGGGTTCACACGTGACCATGTGATCTTGAGGCAAACTTTAAGTAATCCTGGTACTTTGTTGTCGAAGGTGTAAACGGCAACGTATTCATTCCATCGTATTAGCTCGCCGCCTACTTTTAAGACTCTTTTTTTTTTAAACAGCCTGTTGTGAATGCATTTCAGCAAATGTGGAGCATCGGAAAAAACAAAGATGCTTCTTTTTTCTTCACGGGGGTGCTGAAACGAGAATTCCGGAGTTTACATCTTGCCAGAGATACCAAGGTGTTGCCAAAGAGAGCAATTCGTGCTCGCACCATCACAAACGACGCCGTCAGCTGCTGCACCAGCCTTTTCGAGTAGATTGATGGCTTCCAGCAACAGCCTTGCAAGCTCCATACCCGAAAAAAAAAAAAAGACTTCTGTCAAGGGGTTTCACGTGTTAAAACCACTCATTATGGTCGAGGTAAACACCTGGTGGAATACTGCAAACTGATTTCGACCGCCTAACAATGCTAACGTGCTAAAAATGCATGGGACACAATGGTTTTGCATTTAGTGCTCGGCTGAATGCGTGCGAGCGAACAAGACATAAAGCCGCGTTCGTGTGCTTATAATACGGGAAAGGCGCACACGGGACCAAGCCGAAGACGAGAGAACATATACGAGCGCATTTCATGTGGTGAGCAATGAGAAAACATGGCAGCCAGCATACTAAGTTGGCTGAAAATCAATGGAGAAGAAAACATCACACCATCTGGCGTTCTTTAATGACCTCTGGCATCGCGCAGTACATGCATTTCGCCTCCACCGAAATACGACCGCCGCAGCCGAGATAGAAGCCGTGACCTTCGGGTATACGGCCAATGTTAGCCCATTTCAGTATACCTTAAACAAAAGTCGGGGGTGAACAGATCGCGCAGCACGTGGCAGCGTCATCTGTAAGTACTTAAAATTTTGCTGTTATTTTTTACAAGCAAAGTACCGTGAGAAAAAAAAGGTAAAGTAAGTTATATACTATTTGTCTCGAGGAATCATCCGAAAATATTTGATCAATTAAGAGAGTATATTCCTATATATCGGGACTGTTTCTGCCACGTTTAGGATCACGTACTTTTATTTTTCGAAAATTAAATTATTGGCGCAATGCCACGGCTTCACAATATTAGAAGCCGATCGAAATAAGATTTTGCGTCGGCCTCTCATTTCTTGGCTGCAGTGAAGTACAGAGGAAGCACCCTTCCTACTTTCGCTGAAAATTGCGTTAATGTAGATATGAGCACTTGTCTAGTGAGGCAGCCAAAGCTTCAAGGCAGTGCTACGGTGGCTATGGAATCAAAGGCAGCATGTTCAGTTGAAGGTGTGAGTAATTGAGTACACTAATGACTACTCATTGTCATGGGACCTAGTGAAAGACTCTTCTGAGTCGTTCGGTTAGGTACAGCGCACTGTGGTCCAGTGACGACCTGATTTAGGTACAATATAGAATGTCAAAGCATTCATCGCTGATATTCGCGCTACTTCAACAGACTACGGTAACCTCGATGCCTGTAAGTTGGGCTGTTCTGTAACTGCGCACTTTACTAAGAAACGCTGGAGACCTCTCTGTTTTCGTGCAAGGACCGTTTATTGACACTCGGCATTATTTCCACTGCCATCGACCTTTCTCTTCCCCCGACAGGTTATCGAACATCCCCGTCATTGCTCATAGCGGTCTGCCAACGTTCGCAATAACACCAAATATTTGGGCTGATGTTATCACTTTGGATGATTGGGCGCTTAACCAATACGTTTCGAAATTCTAATGTTCCGGATATGTTTATACTGCATGGGTGCTTCTGCGAAACTGGGCACTTTTGCAGCACATTGTGGTATGTGTTTTTATGGGGGGGGGTGGGGGGGGGGGGGGGGGGTTTGGGGTAATAAAGAGGTTTGCGTTTTTTGGTCATATACGTATGCTTCCAAGCTTGGTAAGATAGATGCAGTTAAGCAAAATAACTCATTTGTTCAGGCGCGTCAAGATCGAAACTATCGGTCTCGAAACGTAAGAAATACTCAATAGGAAGCTTTGGGTTGGTGTTTTGATACCGGAATTTGAACATGTGCACGCTTATCTGTGTATCCCATGCTCTATAGTTGACACTTGCGACGCGCGGTCAAGGGTGGAATACGCACAGCCGACTATACCATACTCTGGCCCGTCCTGCAGCATGTGGTTTCCTATTAGAAAGCACTGTTGTTTCTTTTCTTTTTCATTAGCAAAGTGTTCCCAGCCGATTTATTGCGTCGATATATAGTCTTTCAAAATATATTGTGATATTTACTTCTGCACCAGCCTGGATGAGCACCTTTGTTGGACTTCTTGACGCAAACAACTGACAGGCTGTGTGTAACTGTCGGCAAACGGCACGAACATGAACACCAAAGCATGGTTTGCCAGTGCACGTTCACTGGTGTCGTCGTTTTGCACATGACCAATGTAGAAAAACATCATTGCGTTCACATCTGTGCCCTGCCGCACCTGGAAGAAACAGAACACATCGCGTGGTTAGTTGTGCGGAGCGTAAACTAAATAAATATGGTCGCATGAAGCACAACTTATAGGCTCTCTGTTGGATTAATAATGAAACCATAATACGTTGTACTTAAAAAAAGGATGCATATTTTGTGCTAGTTGATACGAATCAGCTACCGCCCGCTGCCCATCGTTGCCTTCCAACCACCTTCCAACCGCAAGTTTAGCCTAGTTTTAACAGCCATGATTTATAGCATTGCAATACTTAAAGCGCAAGAAGGACAAATATGGCGTGACACGTGCATAATAACGTCTGTGTGTGTCATGTCTCATTTTGTACGTGTCTATAGTTTTTGGCTACAAGCTCCTGAACGCTAGGTCATCGCCTTGCTGGTTTTGATATAGCAGGTTCGATACCCGCTTTACGGTGACCACATTTCGATGGAAGCAACGCGAATGTCTCTTTAAAAAAACACACAAAATACTTTAGCCTCGTTATATCGTTCAGCCACCTGCAGAGAGTTCCCATTTTCTCCACGTTCCGTTCCGCTTACGTTAATATTGTTCCATTTTAATTAAACTTCAAGTGCGCTCTCGAGTACTTTCATTGGCGTTATTATGTCGCACACCTTTACGGCTGTGACTAACTACAGTCAAGCGTCGACGCCCTTCTGCTTCTTTGTAGGCAAGCAACGTTGAGGATTAGCTCACCTGCATTTCATCAAATACAAGTACTCCGTGTGTCAGGCTCTCCTTCTTATTCAGCAGCTTCGATTGAATGCTTCTAAAAACTTGCCATCGAATCCACACTCCTGCGATATGTGTTTCCTCACAGTAGACACGCCGGGAAGAGGTCGTTACGCCTCAGAAACTCGTATGCAAATGGGCTTCTAAAGTGCAGTAAAAAACACATGGTCAGAAACGTGTCCGAACAGCGCCGGCCTTTTGATGAAATTCACGTGTCCACTTTTATGCATTCTTGTACGACAAGACCTTCCGGCAGTCGCTGTAGAAAGGACTCAAGTTTTTTCTCGCTTATATTGCTCATCCTTTCTTGATACACTTTTAGTTCTTTTTTCAAGCTCCCTTAGCCGTCGGCGTGATGACCAGGCAGGCTTTTTTCTAAAGCAATCTTTGACGTCGGAGCAAAACATCAAGTTTGGGCTTCCACAAAACATCAGAGTGCGAGCTAACAAGATAATAAAACTAATCTGGAATGTATTTCCTGTACATGCAGCAGTGTATACGTAATTATCGCGTTGGGAAGAGCACGAAAAGCCGTGCATTGATCGAACATAATCTGTGGCGAAAGGCGCGGCAGTAGTAACGCAGATCTCGCGTATTTATTTATTTATTTATTTATTTATTTATTTATTTATTTATTTATTTGTGACCAGTGACAGACAACTGTTTGAATGAAAATGTTTCGTACCTTGTGGTAGCGCCATTAAGTGAGAAGCTTGACTCTTTCTGGGTGCTGAATGACCTCTTGCAAAAGTGTGCTTCGATCTGGGCACAGAGGGTCTTGTCGTGGTCCCACCGCTGATCACCAGTTGTTGTGATCCCGGGGTGCTGTGGTAGCGTGGTGTAGCTTCGGGTTGAGGAAACGAGCGCTTACAAGTTGGGGATACGATAAACAAACAAGGTTTATGGCACTATTTACAAATATTTACAGCATGAGGTTAAGAGTTCACAAACCACGAACGTGGTGGTTAAACCTTTACTTGGTTCAGAGCGACGTCCTGCACTCTGCGGCGCCGTTATAAGCCCTGTCGGGCTCCTCCTTCTTCAGTCGAACACCAATCACATACACACAACAGGTGAGGGGTACGAGCAGGCACGGCGCACGTGAACAGTGTTGTGAAACGACGGACCGATCCCGCCGAAGCCACCACTGTTGCGAAAGACGGCGACGCCGACGCGGTCCCGGAGGCGCCACTGCTTTCGACCCCGCCGGGAAGGTCACCAGCCGTTTGGTAGCGTATGTTTCTCAGCTCGCGACTGCTTCTGCGCAGAGCTGAGGAGACGAGCGGACGAGACGACGGTGAGTTAAACAAGGTTTATGTACAGCATATATACAGAGGCGTTACAATTTCGGCACTGGGGCCGGCAGAGACTCGAAGAGCCGAGCTCCTCTCTCTAACACATACGTCAGCCTTTCGCCTAAAACCGCTGACTCAAACACATGTCGGCCCTCCGACACGGGGACTCCTCTCCTAGGACCTCCGATCTCGACGCGCCGCAGGGCTTCTTTTATTTACACCGGGTCCAACCAAAAGGTCCAATCAGAAGCGCCGCTGGTCGTCAGCGCAGATTCTTCCAATGGGGCCGCCGCGCCATGCGTCAGACCACCTGACACGAGGACGCCGGCTCGCTGTCACGTGCGCAACTGACTCACTGCACGTGGGCCAGAGGAGCGCCGCGCGTGTTCACGCCGTCGAGGTGATCGCGCCAGGCAGACTGCGGGCTGGCCTTGACCCAGATTGCCTTTTTCAGAGGCACGGTCGTTTGACGAGGACTCGCTGGCATAACAGCACCCCCGCCGCCAGACAATGCACCGGAAAGACGAGCTGCTTCCACGGGGCTCGGATGTCAGGTGCGCTCGTTCGCCAGGTCCCTCCAGGTTCGCCTCCAGGGCCATGTGGAGAATACAGCTCCAAACTGTTCCGGGAACACATCCCAATTTTGACGACGGATCCCAGCTCCACGGGCTTGTCGCCACAACTTGCTGACCAGCTTCACTCGTCTCTTCTGACCATCTTCGGTTTCAGCACTTGTCGATGGTTCTGCAACTTGCTAAGAACGGTTCGACAACAGACAACACACGACACAAGCAAGTGCCCTCGGTCACCCGACAGAACACCAGACAAAGTATAGTACAACATATACCTATCTACGTGTTTATCGGAATTTTGTTCCCTCTACATCAAGAGGCACATGTGGGACAAAAGACCCCTAAAATGACAACTCAATTTTTTTTTTCCCACGTACAACAACGTAACGGATTAGAATACCACATAAGTTGGCCCTTGAGATCACTCTGAACGAGAGCGCTCAGCCCAGGTCGTGATGAGGTCAAAATTTTGCCCCGAATCGCCAGCCAGAAACCGAAAGGTTGAGAAGGTACTAACTAAACGCACTGCTCAATGCACCTGCATTAACGTTTACCTTTCCTTTTTTTTTTCTTTAGCGAACGTCAAAGTTGCGCTGTGGAGCAACATGCTCCACTTCAGTAACCGGCCACTTTTAGGCGACGATACCTATGCGGCACCAAGAGCGGCTCACACTTGCGACGTTGCACAGGGGAACAACGATACGGCTTGCTACTGATTGACTCCTCACCGCTTAGCTCGATATCGTGTTCGATCACCCTCATGTTTCCGGGGCGGTCCGAAAACACGTCTTCAAACTCGGAACCAATCTTTCTCAGGTCCTCTTTCTCAGGTCCTCCTCCACTTAAGCTAGGCTCTAGGTTTATCTGCTCCCAAATTACTTTCGATCTCCCTTCGATCACCTCACTAGAACTCAAATTTTCTGCTTCCTCTTCCACTGAAGCCTTCAACAGCTGATTTACGACCGCTTGATGTTGAACATTGGGTTTCATCAAGTTGTAAATTTTGTGCTGCCGCCTTCCTACTTGCACCTCATAATTTGTATCGCAAGGCTTCGATAATACTTTGGCGGGCCCTTCCCAATCAACCTCAAGCTTGTTCCTTTTGGGTGGCTGCAGCCGCATTACCTGATTATCAACTTCAAAAGCGCGCTTCTTCCCCGATTTCTCGTAGTGCTCCTTCGACAGCACTTTTGCCGCGTTTTTCTGGCTTTCCACTCGCGCTTCAATTTGGCTTTCCACTAGCGCTTCAATCGAGAGATCCTCACGCTGCCCTCGAATGAGCGTCTCTCGATCAACTCTCGGCAGCTCGCTCCAACTTTCCGCTACAGGCGAGAGCGTTGCAACCCTCTCGCTCTGACTCAATGGCGCCACGTCGTCTCCCCTTTCTCCGGAAACCGCGCCGGTCGTGTCGACGACGGGCCGCTCGCGTGACTGCTCCCATGACTCATGCGGAAACTTTCCTTTCTGGGGTTCCGTCGACCCGCCGACAAGGTCACTTGAGAGTTCACCGCATGGAACCAGATCAAGCTGCCGCGATAGCTTCCGCGCTTGCGATCGCGTGAGAGCCATGCACGCTAAGTTGGGGAAGAACGATTTGCCCTGCTCTTTGAGAAGCTGCTCCGAGTTGTTGGAGAAAAGATAAGGAAAACGATCGTTCAGCGCGGCAGACACAGCTGCTTCGGTGCAAAGCTTACCGAACGGGCCTTCAATGACAACGGTGGCGATTGGTAAGCGAACACTCTGCTCCTCGGCGACTTGCCTGATCCACGCGCATTCTCCTGTGAAGTCATCCGGAGACACCAATGAAGGATGGACAACGTCCATGGTTGCCGCTGAGTCTCTAAGTGCTCGGCACGTTTTCTCATTGACCCTAATTTCTTGGAGATACGGCTCCAACAACCGCATGTTTTTTCTGATTCTCGGATCGTTGCGAAGGCAAACTTTTCCTGACAGTTTCTCGCGATGTGCCCTTCCTTTTTACAGTTGTAGCAGATTAGCGGCTTCCGTTTGTTTTCCGGTTCTAATGCCTGTGTGGTAGAAACCTCACTCGATTTCTCCGCTTCTGTTTGCCCTTCCCCTACACTGTCCTTCGTAAGAGACGGGTCCTTCTTGAAATTACGGTGCGGAGCGGGTTTCCGTTGATCAGGTTTCTTTGAAAAGCCCTCTTTTCTTTCATCCTTTTCAACGCGCACTGCCCTGCTATGCAACTTTCGGCGAGTATAATACTCCTCAGCTAACTCTGCTGCCTTGTTTAGCTGTACTTCACCAAGTTTGTCCTGCAGCCAAAGTTTGACATCCTCCTCGATGCAGCGGTAGAATTGCTCCAATGCAACGCATTCCACCACTTTATCGCGGTTGTCATAAACACCTTCGCCCTTGAGCCATTCAATCAAATCGGCTATAAGACGAAACGCGAAGTCAACGTGTGACTCATTCCCCTTTCTAGCATACCGGAACCTTTGCCTGAAAGCCTCGGGTGACAACTTATAACGTCTCAAGAGCACTTCCTTAACCTCGTCATAGCTCTCAAACGCTTCCCTCGACAAGCAAGTTATCGCGTCGGACACTTCGCCGGGAAGAAGAGCTAGCAGGTTCCGCGCCCAAAGAGACTGCTCCAAAGCATTTCGCTCACAGACGTGTTCAAACTTGACGAGATACTTCGCCATGTCCTCGCCTACTACGAACGGTGGCAGTTGATCCCGAATTCTAATACCGCTGACCTGAATCGTCGGAGAAGCTGCGCTAGGCGCCTGCGAACACTGTAGGATTGCCAATTCTAGTCGTTTCATCTCAAGGCGCTCCTGTCTCTCGGCCTCCTCGCGACGTTCGCGCCTTTCAGCTTCTTCGCGAGCTTCGCGCCTTTCAGCTTGTTCACGTTCGCGAGCTTCGCGCCTTTCAGCTTCTTCGCGAGCTTCGCGCCTTTCAGCTTCTTCACGTTCGCGAGCTTCGCGCCTTTCAGCCTCTTCACGTTCGCGAGCTTCTACTTCTCGCCTTTCAGCCTCCTCACGGCGTGCTTTAATATCCACCCAGGCCTCATCGACTTCCTCAGCCGACACTCCCTCATCCTTCATGATATCAAGGATCGCTTGCTTTCGTTTCGCACGGCCCAAAGTAATGCCGAGTTCCTCACAAATTTCGATGAGTTCCTTCACTTTAAGGTTCTCCATCGTTCACACTAGCCTCTTGCTGT